CACACACCACCTCTGCCACCATCCCCAGTACTTCCAAGCAAGGCAATGAGGCTAAACCCAAGCCCCAGGGTTCCATTTAAGACTGTCATTGTTATTTTTAAATCAGTTATTCTGAATGGGCAACACTTACACATGGCCCCAAATTCAGAAAAGACCAGAGAGATCTAGTGAAAGTAGGTCTCCCTCTTCTCCCTGCCCCGGTTTCCCTTCTGGAAGACAATTTCTCTCATCAATTTACCCTCTCCAAGAGACTGTGCATATACCCATAAAAAAAATCCACTGCTGCTGAATCAATTCTGACTCATAGCGACCCTACAGGACAGAGCAGAACTGCCCCACAGGGTTTCCTAGGCTGTAATCTTTACGGGAGTTCACCAGGTCTTTCTTCCGTGAAGCCACTGGTGGGTTCAACGTGCCAACCTTTTGGTTAGCAGCCGAGGGCTTAGCGACTGCACCGCCGGGGCTCCTTTCTGTACATATGCACAGACATATATACTCACACGTTTTAGAAGGCACAAAAAGGTAGCACGCCACACACTCTTCTGCACCTTCCTCTCTTCCCTAACTGGGTGATCATTCCACATCAGGGAGAGCGAGTGAGTGCATATCTGCAGCAGTCTTTCTACCCATTATAGAGAGTATGACAACGCATTTAACCAGTTCCTTTTTATGGTCATTTCCAGTTTTCTGCTACTAAGAGCGAGCTGCAGCCTTGCACACAGGTCCTTCCGTACATTAAGACAGGCAGTCTTTAAAACAGCATTCGGTTTTAAAAAGGACCAGCTGGGGACACTCATGACATGGACAGAATCCCTCCTGCCTGGCAACAGCACTGCCCTTGTGTGTTGCCCTTCAGGGTTAAGGGCCGTGAGCAGGAAGAGGGCTGCACCACAAGTGGGTCCCAGACACTGGACTCACAGACTAGAGACTTTGCTTTTACAGAGCAGCATTCTGAGATTTTGGCTCCAGTAGAAACAGAGTGAGCACACTCCACCCTGTCTTCCCCTACAAAAGCTATGAAACCTTGACAGAGTGTACACAGCTGCCAACTGAACACTCTGAAAAGTAACAGTACAGACGGATTGGGGAAAAAGACCAGAATTTGAAGAAATACTGAACCATGGAGAGTTTACCATTGTCCCCTCACTAGTACCCCCCAGCCTGAACTCAATGCTGCCAAAAGCCCAAAATGAGCATCACGACAGAGAAAACTCCAGGGAAAATTCAAGGAGCCAGAGTCTCCTAACACACACACACACAAACACTGGGGGAAAGTCCCTCTTTTTCCTTTTTTCTCTCTCCTTGCACCCCAGCCCCCAAGCAACACTGTGGCAGCAGCAGTGGCGGTGGCACCAGGAGCGTGCAGGAGTCAACTCTGAGGGTAACCTTCCTTTCTGGCTAGAAGAGCTGTTGTTTCAACAGCATGGAATCATCCTGCTGCTTTTTTTCTTCCATCTTTGTGCTGCTCGGCCCACATGTAGGCACAGTCACAGGAAATGTGTAGCAGAGTGGAGTAACTAAAGCCCCAGTTTTCTGGCCAGGTGACTGAAAAAGGGAGCCCCAGAGAGGCCAAAAGTACTAAGGAGACTGAAGAAGGATGAGCTCAGAGAAGTGAGATCTTAAAGTTGTGCATGTACGCCCGGACTCACTCCCAGCTGCGTGATCTGACCCTAGACGCCACAAGGACTTGAAGAACGATGGGGCAGACCACTGCCCAGGACCCAGACTGGCCACGGGGTGGCACACACGTGGAACAGATGTGACGGCTATGAAAACTGAAATGTCATCGGAACCACAACCCAAACAAAGCTGGTTGGAATTTGCAGCCTGACCCAACTGGGTCGACTGCCTGCTTAAAAGAAAAATAGCAACATTATCTGTAGGATTCAAATAAGACTTTATCTGAAAATATTCAAAATGTCTAGGATACAATTAAAAATTCCTCAACATGTGGGGGAAATAAAAAAAAAACCATTGCTGTCAAGTCAACTCTGACTCATAGCGACCCTACAGGACAGAGAAGAACTGCCCCATAGGGTTTCCAATGAGTGGCTGCTGGATTCAAACTGCCAACCTTTGGGTTAGCAGCTGTGGCTCTCAACTACTGTGCCACCAGTGAAGAACCAGCAAAAGTCTCACTTCCTGTGAAAAAAACCCAATCAAGAGATGCCAATGCTAAGATGACACAAATGCTGGAGTCGGCTGTCAAAGACCAAAAGCAGGTTTTATAAAAAGGTTCCAACAAGTAAGGACAAACACACTTAACAGCAATGAAAGGATAAAGTCTCAGCAAAGAGATAGAAGATACAAAGTAGTACGTGAAAATTTTAGAACTGAAAAATACAATAACCAAAAAGGGGGGGTTGTACCTCACTGGAAGGGCTCAATAACAGAATAGAAAAGACAGAGGGAAGAGCCTATGGATTTGAAGATAGATGAAAAGAAATGATCCAACCTGAGTAACAGGAAGAAAAAAGAAAAAAGGGCAGGATTCTGTGCTTAATTATCACCTCATCCTTAGTGAGCCAGAATTAAGAACCAAATGGATAATGCATGTACTAAACCCTTGCTTACACTTTAATTTCAACAAGCCACTCCAATTTCAATTTAACAAGAGACAGTTACATGATGATTAAAAGAATCAGCAAAGCACTTGGAATGCCATGCCAGGGAAGGTACGACAAAGTGCAAAAATAACAAATTGAACATTTGCAGTTACTTCAGAGAGCAAAACACAACTGTTGACAACAGAGCACAGCTCCCAGAGGTCTGGGTTAGATGAAGGAAGGAGGCAGCTGTCCCCAACATCAACTCTCGAGAAAGCCAAAGTCACATACTTCCCCAGGAGAAAGGAAGAAGCCATTAGGGGCAACATGGCAGAGCAACAGGAGACGTGGAGACAGGCCCTGGCCTGTCATCCTGGTTCTGCCACAAACCAGCTTCACAAACACAAGTACAGGCTCCTTCTAGAACCCCTTTACTAATCTATAAATGGTTGGGATCAGACCACATGGTCTCTAAATCCCCTTGCTCTAAAAAACAAGAAGTCCTATGTCAACTGGCACAATATAGTTCATAAAGACAATGTTCTACATCCTTTGGTTGAGCAGTGTCTGGGGTCTTGAAAGCTTGTGAGTGGCCATCTAAAATACAACTATTGGTCTCTTCCAGTCTGGAGCAAAGAAGAGTGAAAAAACCGAAGACTCAATGGAGCAACGAGTCCAAAGGACTAATGGATCAATGAACCACAGCCTACACAACCCCGAGACCAGAAGAACTAGATTGTGCCTGGCTATCACCACCGACCCGACTCAGATCACCACAGAGGGTCCCAGACAGAGCAGGAGAAAAATGTAGAACAAAAAATCAAATTCACAAAAAAAGACCAGACTTACTGGTCTGAAAGAAACTGGAGGAACCCCCGAGACTATGGCTCTAAGACACCTTTCTGACCTGAAACTGAAGCCATTCCCGGAGACCACCTTCCAGCCAAACAACAGACAAGCTCATAAAATAAACAATTACACCTGAGAGGAACGTGTTCCTTAGAACAATCAATTATATGAGATCAAAAGGGCAATATTTGCCCAAAAGCAAAGATGAGAAGGCAGGAAGGGATAGAAAATCAGGATAAAAGCAAACGAGGACCGCACAGCAGAAGTGGGGAGAGCACTGACACACTGTGGGAAATGAAGCCAAGGTCATGAGACACTTTACATACAAACTATCGAATGCGAATCTAATTTACTCTGTAAACTGTCACCTAATGCACAATTAAAAATAATTAATTAAAAAAATGAGAAGTTTTAATATTTTAAAGTTTACTCAATATGATGATTATCCCTTTAATATCTGAGGGCAGAGGCAACCCACGCATATGAAAAGGCATGACAAAACAGGGGTCTAGTTATAGGAGGAACTCATAGCCCTAAAAAATAAAAATAAAAAAAATTCACAGAACACTAACGTGAACTAACACAGCAAGAGGCACAAATGATTCTGGTCCCCCTGCTCTCTTTGAAAGAAAAAAACCAACCTCAGTGTTTTTCCCTTCTCGGTTACCTGAAAACAATATGTATCTTTTAGGATGTGTTCTGGATACTTATGAATGAAATGCACCCTGTGTCTGTTTGGGAGAGGAGGGTGGGTAGAGATGAGTAAGAGTGGCCATGAGCTGATGGCCACCAAGCTGGGAGATCACCGTACTACCCTCTGCTTTTCTATATGTTTTCCATTTTCAATCAGATGTTAAAAAATAAAGTAAAAGACTCTGGTTTCTACTTTGTGGTCTGCTATTTTCTCATTTTGCTGCTAGAGCCAGCTCCAGAGTAACACAGAACTGGGTCCCCTAGAGCTGCAGTCACCTACACCTTGCAGAGGGTGACTTGTTAGAACTGGGTCCCCTAGAGCTGCAGTCACCTACACCTTGCAGAGGGTGACTTGTTAGTTGGCCATCAGGTCAATGAATGAACATCTGTCTGTGGAAGATCTACTGCATGTCCCTGGTGATCAGATTTCGCTTAGATAGGTTGAGAAGGAAATGACAGAGTATATGGTATGATTAAAAAAAAAAAAAACCCACTCGCATAGCCCAAGGAGAGTAGGCAAGCAAGCAAAGACCTAAAGGAAGTGAACTTCAATTAGCAGTGGCCCAGATCTCTAGCTGCACTTTGTAGTGTAAAACAGATGTCTGGGGTGTGATATAGCTTTGTCTGGGGTGTGATATAGCTTTGCAGAACTGCATGGAGAAGTCAGGGCGAGGTCATGTCTACTGGGTTTGGACAGGAGTTAAGAAAAAAAAAGGACCCAAAGAGTCCAGATCAGTGATGGCATCAAGTGTGCTCATAAGGAAGCCAACAAGACTGGGAGTTAAGGGGTGCTGAAAGGGCCTAGTTAGGGTGGCGGGCAGCTCTAGGTCAGTGGGTAAGAGAAGGGGAGACAGATGGCAAGTAAGCAGGTCATGATAGAAAGCCAAGGTCAAGATCTTGAAGGCAGCACTGTTCCTCTGATGGGGCAATGCTGGTGGGAAACTAGAGTTGGATAGAGGAGGCAAGGAACGGCACAGAAGTGTCAGAAGGATCACAGATGATGGACAGAAACAATGTTGGCAGTGGGGTACACATGGCATAAGTATACGTCTGAATCAACATTTATGGCAAAGTAACTCAGGTATATGGTGACTGTTTATACTTACTGAGTATAAGAAAGGAAATACCATTTTGTTTCTCTAACCTACATCTGGATCTTTCCAGGGCTCAAAACATAATGAATATTTATTTTAACAACGAAGCAAGGAAACTGTGAGGCAAGGAAAGTATTTTTAAAGCTTTTTCCTCTTTATTTTCCACCACCCATATTTCATTTTGTCATACTCTGGTGGTTTCGTGTTGCTGTGATGCTGAAAGCAATGTTACCAGTATTTCAAATACCAGCAGGGTCATCCATGGTGGACGGTTTCAGCAGAGCTTACAGACTAAGACAGATTAGGAAGAAAGGCCCAGTGATCTACTTACAAACATCAGCCAATGAAAACCCTCTGGATCACAACAGAATACTGTCCAATATAGTGCTGGAAGATGAGCCCCCTAGATTAAAAAGCACTCAAAATACACAGTGGCCGCAACAATGGACTCAAACCTATCAACAATTGTGAAGATGGCACAATGTTTTGTTCTGTTATACATGGGGCTGCCATGAGTCGCAGCCGACTCAACAGCAACTAACAACTTTATTCTGCTGAAGTGGAAAGACAAGTTGTACAAGTACATAATCCAGAAGAGCCACTCAGAACTATCCTTCAAAGTGCTTACCTTGGTCTGTTTCTTCTCAGTGGCATAGACGATGGACGTACAACAGACTTCAGCAATCTTGCGGCCCTGACCATAAAAGGACCAGCAGCAGATTTCATCCCCAATGACATCTTTTATGAATAGGACCCTCCCATTAAAGCGCAGAGACAGCTTATCAAACAGTTCGATGTTTTTCAACATATTGTCATCAGAGTTACTGTAAAAAACATTTGATAAGGTGAGCAACACGCTGGTAATAACTGCATGGTTCTACGTGCAGGCCCCCTGCAACCTCCCAATAGTCCCGTGAGAAGGGCACTGCAGCCCTCATTGCTCAGAAAGGCAAGTGAGGGTCAGAGAAATGAGGTAACTGCCTGAAGCCCAAAACTAATAAACAGCAGAGCTGGGTCTCCAAAACAATGACCACTCTGGCTTCTAAGCCCATGTTCTGACCCAGCATGCTAGGGTGCCTGCCAACAACATGGGGCCTCTTCCCACAGCAGCAGGTGGGGAACGTGGAGCAGAGAGGTCCCTGGCCAGTTTATGGGTCTTGAGTAACCTCATAAGTCCCCCTACCCGCCCTCCACCCCCCACCCCCCAGTTCTTAATTCAGAGCCACATACTCCCAAGAGCCAAAAGGCCTTCTAGAAACCCACATACACTGCTGGTGGGACTGTAAAATGGTTCAGCCTCTTTGGAAACAGTCTGGCTGTTCCCCAAAGAATTAAACACAGAGTTACTGTATGACTCAGCAATGTCACTCCTAGATATATACCCAAGAGAAATGAAAACGTATGTCTACAGAAAAACTTGTACAGGCATGTTTAAAGCAGCACTACTCACAACAGCCAAAAGGTGGAAACAACCCAAGTGTCCATCAGCTAGCGAATGAATAATCAGAACGTGGTATATCCACGCAATGGAATATTACTCAGCCAAAAAAAGGAATGAAGTGCTGATTTAAGCTACAACGTGGATGAACACTGAAAGCATGCCAAGTGAAAGAAGCTGACACAAAAGGCCACATAAAATATGATTCCATTAATAAGAAATGTCCAGAGTAGGCAAACCCATATAGAGACAGAAAGCACATTTGTGGTTGCCTAGGGATGGGGGGATTGCCTACGGAAATGGGGAACAGCTACTGATGGGTACAGGGTTTCTTTTTAGGGTAACCAAAGTGTTCTAAAATTAGACAGTGGCAATAGTTGCATAATTCTGAATATACTTAAAAACTACTGAGTTGTATACTTTGAAAGCGTAAATTTTTTATGGCATGTGGATTATACTCAACAAAGATAAGTAAGTCAATATATCTTAATAAATATGTATATAAATAAAGGAAGGCGTTGTAGAGGCACAGGGGGGCCACCCCTCCGCTGAAGGGAGCAAGAGCTGGGCCTGGCTGGAGGGTGGAGGTTTGCTAGTGAGCACAGACATCTTTTCTGGCTAACGTCTTACCTGGTATATGAGTATTTGTTGTTACTTCGGTTGTAGAGCAACTTCACGGCGGGCTGTGGGTTGTTTTAAAATAGGAGGAAGAGAGTTAGTTGAGAGTTAGTTGGCGTGCAGGCACACTGAACCACTGGCTTCCTGCAGGGGTGGGGCCCTGCCACGAGGCAGAGAGGAAGACAAGCTCACCTAGTTGGGCTGGAGACAGGGTTGGAATGGAAGACTACATGACCCAGTATCAGGGTGAACAAAGATTACCTACGGGTTCCCGTTCTTACCCCCTTCTCAGGCCTTGCCCAAGCAATTAGAGAAGTTTTTATTTCAAAACTTATTCAGAAGAATCTCCATTTCTGGTAGCTAAAGAATCCCACGAGGGTGCCTCCAACATACCTTATTTGAAGTTGCAATAAGTTTTTGTTCTTCCTTGGATGAGGTGATGACAGGAACTTTGCAGAAAGGCTCATACGTGTCTTTGTTCTGCTGGAACAAAACATGCTTTCAGCCTGGGAGGCCTGCCCAGCATCAGCTTTTTTAAGCTGACCTTCAGGGGAAAAAACAGGCTGGCGAAGGGAGATGGGGCAGTCATGGCTGGGAAGAGAGAAGGATTCTTACTACCAACAGATTAGGATGGGAAAGGCCAGGAGTTGAGTTTTCCACTAAGTCTGCTCTCTGGCTAGGGCTGTGAGGTGCCACGGTGCTCATAACCACGATGACACATTTTCCACAGCCCGGGGAGCCACTCAAAAATAAACCCTAAACATGGCAGATGAAACATGATTTAATCAAAAAGTCCTCAAAACCCCACTACAACCACAGCAGAGGAATAAAGAAGGCATAAGCCCATAAGGAATAGAAGAATGGAGAAGTGGCATCAGCAGACATGGAAAGGTCAAAAATTCGAGGCTGGAAAGCAGATCAGAGAAGATAAGCAATAACCGAGGAGATGGAGAAAGCTGAAACTTCAGTAGGCAGATGAGAATGCCTCCTGGAGGAGCCCAGGAACTGGAGACACAGGGAGCCCCTGAGGACCAGTGGGGATGGGGTGAGAGCAGAGGATGGTCCAGCTGAGACCCTCAGACCGATCCCCTTCCCCACCCTGGCAGAAGAAAGGTACACTGTCCTGGAGAGGTTTGCACAGTAGAGGACAGGGCCGAGTGGCTATTCTGAAAACAGGGGAATTAAGTGAACGTCCACACAACAATCGGTGAGACCTCTCCCCACTGTAACTCCTTCCCTCCACTCAGATTCCAGAGTATGGCCAGCCAGGCTTATACCCACCAGGAAGAAGGCAAAGGATTCCCCTATGGGGAACTGGGTTGACCACAAAAAAGACTAAGAGTCTGACATGTGGGGTTCCCCACTGAAAAAGTAAGGCTTGTCATCCAACAATGAAGCCCACCAGGCAACAAGGCCCACCCATGCATGTAAAGCTTTTCAGAGCTGTCATGGATTGAATTATGTCCCCCCCAAAATGTGTTTATCAGTTTAGCTGGGCCATGATTCCTGGTATTGTGTGATTTTTCTATAGTTGTAAATTCTGCCTCTATGATGTTAATGAGGATGGGTGGCAGTCGTGTTAGTAAGGCAGGAGTCAATCTACAAAACTGGATTGTGTCCTGAGGCAATCTCTTGAGATATAAAAGAGAGAAGTGAGCAGAGAGACAGGGGGACCTCATACTATCAAGAAAGCAGTGCTGGGAGCAAAGCGTGTCCTTTGGACCCGGGCTCCCTGCACGGAGAAGCTCCTAGTCCTGGGGCACACTGATGAGACAGAAAGCCTTTCCCTCGAGCTGATGCCCTGAATTTAGATTTTTAGCCTACCTGACTGTGGAGAAATAGGTTTCTCTTTGTTAAAGCCATCCACTTGTGGTATTTCTGTTACAGCAGCACTAGATGACTAAGACAAGAGCCTTACTCTTAAATTTCAACAGACAGCCAAGGACCATCAGATTATATGTGGGAAGCCTCTAAAATATGAGACTGAAATCAAAACAAAGAGAAGAAGTAAGGGAAGGAATCAGATAATGAAGGGAGCAGAAGAAAACTTCAAATAGTATCTCCAGACAGGTAAGATACTGCGTCCTGTGAAACAAGATCAGCATGCTGTGTAAGAAAGAGCATTCAGAAAATAAGCCAAAGCTCTTGGAAGTTAGAAATATGATTAGTAGAAACGAAAGATTCAAAGAACGTTGAAGAAAAGCCTCTGAGAAAGTTAGAACAGAAAGACAAAGCAACAGAAACTGGGAGGAAAGAAAATTAGATTCTGTCAGGCCTGGAGGTTTAACCTCAGACTAACAGAAACTGCAGAAGTGAACCCAGAGAGCACATCTCCAAGACAAAGACGAAGCTCACAGAATTCCTGACGTGTCTGAACATAGCAGTAGGAGATTTACCTTTCCACTTGAGAATCTGTGGTTGAATTAGTGATATGTACTTAGAAAACCAATCCCCGGAGAAGGACGTAACACTTGATAAAGTAGCGGGTCAGCAAAAAAAAAAAGGAAGACCCTCAATGAGATGGACTGACACAGTGGCTGCAACAATGGGCTCAAACACAGTAGCAACGGTGAGGATGGCACAGGACCAGGCAGCACTTAGCTCATTGTACACGGGGTCACTATGAGTTGCAGCCAACTCGGTGGCACCTAACAACAATAACTTAGAAAACCCAGCAAACAAAGTAATGAAGCAATCATTAACTCTGGAAAAAGTGAAAAGTTACAGAAGAAAGAAAATAATCATTGTATACCCTGTGGCTCAAGTGTCAACAATATTTACACATCATAATGCAAACCCTGAGTACTGATTTAGCCAAACTGTGAGAAACTATCCTGGGAGGATGGGAGAGGGAATATGTGCACCTAAGTTTGGTGGAGGTCGGGGTGGTGGTAGTGTGTAGGTTACATTCTAATTTTCTGTAATAATGATAATAGATAAATGTCAAAAACTTAAAGGTCAACAAATAGCAGTATAAACAAGTTCCGGAGAATATGAAATAGGAGAAACTGCTGCAAGAACTGAAAGAGGTTGCCGTGGGGAGATGGGGAGTGGAGGCCTGGTGGTGCTTTGGACATCAACCTTGCAGTATTATTTAACTTCTTAAATGATACACGTGCATTACTTCAATAAATATAAAATGAAGTAAAAATAATAAAGTAAACGCTGTGTTAGATTTACACCGAGCCTGCAGGCTCTCGGGGCACAGGTGGTGTGTGGACACAACAGTTTCTCGAGGAGCTAGACATTGTAGGTACTGCTGCAGTGGAAGGCCAGACACAGACACGTGACTCAGGGGAGGTACAAACAAGAGCCTCATGCACACAGATCAGAGTCCTATGACAACCCTAAGGGACTCTTCCGATTCTTTGACGTGGGAACTCTGCCTGAAATAAATGGCTACTGGCTATGTCTGTCACTTGACCTGACCCAAACAGTCCTGCCCCAGGCTCCAGACTAGTCTCTCAGGTCCAGCTGAGGTGTGAGGGGTATCTGTCTTTAGAGATTATACTGGCTTCCCAACAATGAGTCATGGAAAGAATGTGAAGTTGCCCAAGAAAACGCCAGAGAACTGATCAAGTTTTATACCCCCTGACTGACTACTGAAGGGTTGCAATGTACCCACGAGATGACTCAACACCACAGGGACTGAAATCGTCAGGGAGAGGTCAGGTGACTTGAGCATTGCAGGGAAGCCTCTCAGGGTTCAACTCTGACCAAAGGGGAGAAGCTCCATGGTTAACTCACTGACTCTCAGAACATCTCCATGAGGTAGGAACTGCTCCCATTTTGCAGATAGGGAAAATGAGGAAGGCTGGTGGGTTTGGTGCCCCACACCCCTGTGGAAAAAAAGGGAGATGCCTACTTGTAGGGCCGCCTGACACTCTTCCACCAGGCCCTGGACCAGGTAGTACTTGGCTTCTGCCAGCAGCTCCTCAATCTCTCGGCGGCTCTCAGGCAAGGGGACTGCCCCATCACGAAGGTAGTTGAGTATCGTACCGAAGTGCTTCCCACACCGGTCAATGAGGATCCAGCCTGCAGTGGAAGGAGGAGGAGGGCGGGGCTGAGTCACATGGGCATTCCTCTCTTGGGAGGCACTGAGCAGAAGTGGGTTCTCCTGGCTCCCTCCACCTACAGTGAGAGCAGAGCCTCAAAGGCAGTTGTGACCTACCCACAGTAAAGGGCTGACTAGGTCCTACCCCAGGCAGCACTGCCACACCTCCAGTCTGCTGGCTGGAGACGACCACAACCCTGGACTCCTCTGGTCTTAGGTTCTTAGGACACCAGGGCCTCTGAGACCTAAAAGCATGTTTCCGAAGTACCCTCAAAAATCCCCTAGACAAGAACATTCCAAGAAGGGTCCAATGTACCCACACCCAGATAAAATAGGTGCAAATGACTACACCGCAATGATAAGGGAAAGGTTTATGGAGTGAAAATACCTACTCCTCATTCTACAATGCTTTGTCCAGACTATCAAGTAGTGGAGCCATTTCTGAGGAAGCAGAAGCATCACCCTACAGACTGCGAGCTCTGGCTCCCAAGGGTGATCCCCTGAACCCACCAGCACTACCTATTACCAGCTAGTGATGCCAACTGGGATAAAACAGTGAACGAGACAGACTCTGCTCTCAAGCAGTCCAGTCTAATATGGGGAGAAGAAACTTGATTTATTAGATATAGGAAAATGCAGCAACCGCTGACCAGCACTAGCACAGTGAAAAATCCTTAGGGGCTGGTGCCAGGAAGGCTACCCCCTCTGCTTCTCAATGTCCTCGCTGAGCTTGTCACTTCAAAATTCCTCTAATGAGATGCAAATATCCTTTAGAGTGGTATTTAGAGGATGGGAAATAGGACTGGAGCCTGGAAAGAGAAGGAGGCACAGAAAGGGAGGTAGAAATGCAGCAAAGACCAACTCTCTCGATAGAAAATGTGAAGCACTAGAAAGAAGCCAGACAGACAGGGAAGTCCCGGCCTTCCCGCCCAGCTGGGCAACCCCATTGTGAGGGGCTTCATTCACCAAGTCTCCTGTCCCACTTTACACATAAGAACACCAATGCACAGGGTGCTAGGAGGTATAACCAGGTGCCAGTAATTTTATGCCCCCACTTTCCATCCCCCTTTGCTCACAGCTGGGAGAGAAAAACAAACAAACAAAAAACAAACCCACTGCCATCAAAGAGATTCTGACTCACGGTGACCCCAAGTGTTACAGAGCAGACTTGCTCCATAGGGTTTTTTCTCGGCTGTCATCTTTACGGGAGGCAGATGGCCAGGCTACATGTCCACTCATAACACCACTGTGCTCTGCCCTGAGTCATCCTCAGACCCCTGGGCCCTGGAACAGCAGCAAAGTCAACAAAAGCCAAGGGCAGCAAATGGCCCTTTTCTTATTTCAGAGTCACAGATCAACCACCTCCCCTGCCCCTCGCCCCCAAGTGCAGGCCCTGCAAGGTGTCTTCTCATGCATTTGGGCACTACTTAGTATTCTTTGCAATGGTCATCAGGAAAGAGTTTGGTAACAAGGGCATTTCCTATTCTCCTTCTGAAACTACTCCTCTGCCTATGGTTCCTGGGCCTTTTGTTACAGGTCTGGCCTCATCCCTCCAGAGCCTTCCACTTTGTACCTTCCTGCTGCTATGGTTTCCTGAGTACAGCAGGAAGAAAAATCCCCAATCAGGAGCAAAAGCAATGCAAATGTATAGCCTGGACTCAAACGCCTGGCTTCTGATTTAGGAGAATATATTGGAGCCATTCCTCCCCGTCCTAAAATATGAGCTAGCTGGAGCTGGACTCACAAGGACTCACAAGGACAAATCAACTGGGTCCTAAGGTATAAAGACAATAGGTAGGACAATCCTGGAAAACATCTTTTAGGGAAACTTTCACATAAATCATAAACAGAGCACAAAGGACTCCCATACTTTCCATTCTTATCTTTTTTATCAGCCTTTAGTGAATAGTAAGATTTGTTGGACCAATGAAGACCCTTCTGACTGTCCTTACTGAAACTTGTACCAATGATTATTAAGAAAGATAATTCAAAACGTAGAATCACAGTGATTTAGCAGTTTCTAGCCAATCTGTGAAAAGGCGAAGCTTTCAATGGTTTTGCCGATTTGTAATGTTAATATATACTGATGATTCTGTAATATTCCTTTGACTCGGACAGACATGGCTGTGGCAGCATGCTTGTCCATTTCCCCACTTTTGCTTATTCTGTAATATTCCTCAGATTCGGGCAGACATTAGCTCTGGCAGCATGCTTGTCCGTTTTCCCACTTTTGCCTTTTTGAATATATGCCAAATAAAACTTTATTTTTGCTTTACTAAACTTTGTGAAGTTTTTACCCTAGGACACTTCGAGGAAGGAAGAGTCTTCACAGGTTTGGTAAATCATATCACTTCTGACCGAGCCCTGGTGGCACAGTGGTTAAGAGCTCAGCTATAAACCAAAAGGTTGGCAGTTCCAATCCACCAGATGCTCCTTGGAAACCCTACGGGGCAGTTCTACTCTGTCCTATAGGGTCACTATGAGTCAGAATCGACTCGACGCCAATAAGTTTATCACTTCTGACAGTGACCTTCTGGATTTCCTTTCTCCCCCATTTCTTTCTCCATTATGCCTGGAACCCAGCTACTATTACTGAATGTATTCATCAAGGACTCAATAGACGGATCCTAATCAAAAGGGAGAAAAATGTAGAATTTCAAATTCCTATGGAATCCAGACTTACTGAATCCACTGAGACCCAAATCTATTGCTGAGATAATCTTTAAATCTTGAACCAAAACTACCCCCCTGAAGTCATCTTTACACCAAACAACAGTTTAGCTCAGTTAGTAAAAAATGTTTGCCTTGAGCATTGCACTTCTTTAAAGAATTATTGATATGAGATCAAACTGACAACAGTAACTCTAAAGCATAGATGAGAAGTTTAAGGAGCCATGAGTCTAAGTTGATGGTGCTGAAATAATCTGGGTAGAGATGGTGAGAATGATGACACAATATGAAGAAGACAGCCAATGTCACTGAACTGTATATGTAGAAATTGCTGAATGGGTGTATGTTTTTTTGTGTATATATTTTCACCAAAAAGAAAATAAACAGTAAAAAATACATATAGCTGCTTTCAAGCAAACTCAGGTGCCTGCAAGGGCCAGCAGGAAGCAGCTTAAATGAGTGCAAGGGGGCTGGGCTGAGGCGGGTGGCTGATGGAGAACAAGCATGTGCCTGCCCAACAGGGGTCAGGCTCTTCAGCCCCAGCCAAGACAGCCATGCAGGAATGTGGGCCCAGCGCTGCTTACGCTCCATTTTTCAAGTAAAGCCAGAAATCCAGATTTTTATGTGGTAAACTGATAAAATAAGACTTGTATGTAGTACGCTAATCTAAAAAACTGTTTTTTAACCCACCACAAGGCAAATAAAACGCATCTGCAGGCTGAAAAGGGCCTCTGAATTAACTGGATCAAGCTCTTTCCTTCCAAAGAGCTGACAGACTGTATTATCGTCCAAACAATTCTTTTATAGGGAGGATCATTCCCCTGTTATTTTCCACAGATGAAAACAGAGACTCAGAGAGGTTGTTACATCCCCAAGTGGGGCAAGCAGGACTAGACCACGAAGTATAAGCAAGGAACTTGTGGGAAAACTCCTTTTACCAGAATTGAGAAGAAAACTGGAAACCCAGTCTTTAAGAGAAATGGCAACCACTTCAACTCAGCTGCTTTGGGAAGAAAACATCCACATTCTGCTTTTGATGCACGTACATTTCAGCTGCTCGGGAAGAGCGACAGCCCCTGAAATCAATTATCCCAGTGACAGCCCAGAGTTTCCATAAACGAGTAGGCAGGCCATGACACTGGGCTCCGGCTCAAGAATGCCATTAGGAAATGCTTGAGGCGAAGGAATCATACTTTGGACAAATAAGGGCAAAGGAGCCGGGCGGACTGTCCATGAGGTTTCAATTAGCATTCTGATTTTAGAATAATTTAGTTATTTTCAAAGCAGAAATCTGTCCCTTTGAAACAGTCAGCTCAAATGCCTACCAGGTAGAAAAGCAAATGGAAGCCAAGCAGTTCTTGCTTGTGGCAGTGTCTTTTCTGCCGCCTTGGAACACATGGGCTACTTAGGAGGGCTACAGGGAGCCCTGGTGGTGTAGTGGTTAAGAGACTGGGTGCTAACCAAAAGGTTGGCAGTTTGAATCCACCGGCCGGCTCCTTGGAAACCCTATGGGGCAGTTCTACTCTGTCCTATAGGGTCGCTAGGAGTCAGAATCGATTCGACAGCAATCGGTTTTTTTTAAACAGGGCAGCCAAACAGACCTGGTGGCACGATGATTAAGTGCTCAGCGGCTAACCAAAAGGTGGGCGGTTCAAACCTACCAAGCAGCTCTGCAGGAGAAAGACCTAACAACCTGCTTCCATAAAGATACGGCCTAGAAAACTCTATGAGGCAGTTCTACTTTGTCACAAGAGGTTGCCATGAGTTGAAACTGACTCAACGACACCTAACAAAAACAAAGGGCAGCCTGGAATCTCATGGCCCATGAGGCTGGAGCAGAACAGGCAAGGCGCAGACTGGGAGGCTCTGAGCTGGGCGCTAGGACTTCTGGAGGGAAGCAGCAGAGTGGTTAAGAATGCAGCTCTGTTTCTATTTGAGGTGATAAAAGTTTTGGAAGCAAATCATGGTGATGGTCACACAGCACTGTGAATGTAAATAACGTCACTGAATTGTACACTAAAAATGGTTAAAGTGACAAATTTTATGTTATATTTTACCATGATAAAATGTTTTTAAAGTTCTTAAAAAAAAAAAAATGCAGTTCTACATTCAGCTGGCAATGTGTTTGAAACCCAGCTCTGCTATTTGCTGGATGGCATTATGAGCTATGCTTAACCTTTGTCCTTTAAAAATGGCACCTCAAAGGGCGGGCATAAAGATGAGATGAGAGAATGTACAGAAAGCACTTAGCACCATGCGCAGCCTACCAGCAGCACTCAAAATCAGCTAGAGGTCTTTGATGATGAGCAGT